TTAGGTTGCCTTGAAACAGATCATCGCCGTCGTCAAACCGTACTTGGTCGAACGCCTGCTCGAGGGGCTGAAGCGTGCCCCGCTCGAAGCGTGCAGCGTTCAAGAAGTCAAAGGCTACGGCCGGCAGAAGAGTTACCTCGATCAGTACAGCGACGGCGAGTACTCGCAAGCGTTTCTGCCCAAGGTCGAAATCACCCTCTGGGTCGACGACGCCCGCGTTGACGAGATCGTTCGAAAGGTGGTCGAAATCACCCGCACCGGCCGCATGGGCGACGGAAAGATATTCGTTCTGCCCGCGGTTAAGGTCGAAAGGGAAATCGATATCGGCGGGAAATCGACGAAATAGCGTTTACCCCGGCGACTCTGCAAGATTTCCGCCGGACCAGCGAAGAACTTTGAGTGTGCTAAACTTTCCACACACCATTCAATCCCACCCCGCTTTGCTATTCCTCTGCAAGGTAGCTCTAAGAAAGGCAGCTAATATGCGCACGGCGACTTCACACGGCAAACGTTTCGTGGGCTTCCTGGTCGCGGTTGCGGCCGTTGCCTTGTTGTTCGCGTCCGACCAATCGGCCCAGGCCCAGAAGGTGCTTCGCTGGAAATTCGAGCAGGGGCAAACCTTCCAATGGAAGACGTCGCAGAATGCCGACATCACGGTCACCATCAAGGACATGGAACAGGCGACCACTTCGTCGTTCAGCATGACCATGGGCATGTTTGTCAAAGAAGTGGCCGACTCGGTCGCTTCGCTCGAAGTGTCGATGGACCGTTTCCAAATGGCGATGGAAGTCGCCGGACAAAAGATGGAATACGACACCGACAGCGATGAAGTGCAAGAAGGCATCGGCGAAGTCTTCGCTAGAACCTTCGAGCCGCTGATGGCGATGACCTACACCATCAAGATGGACGATCGCGGTGAGATCGTCGACGTGATCGTGCCCGAGGAGTCGATGAAGATGCTCGAATCGATGCCGGGCATGCAGCAATTCGGCAAGATGTTCTCCAAGGAAGCCATGCAAGACATGAGTTCCACTGGCTGGCTCACGTTGCCGGAAGAAGGCCTCAGTGTGGGCGACTCGTGGGATATGAAATCGGAAACTGACAACCCGATTCTCGGCAAGCAAATCGCCGCGGCCCACTTCACCTACGAAGGCCCTGAAGAGGTCGACGGCAAGACACTCGAAAAGATCGTCATGGATATGGACATGGAGTTCGACGAGAACATTCAGAACGAATTGGGTCTGAAGATGAAGGTCGAAGACATGACCCTCTCAGGCACCTTCTACTTCGATGCCGAAGCCGGCCGCCTCAACAACTCCGAGATCAAGCAACAGATGGAAGCCGATCTCGAAGCCGGCGGGCAATCGATGCACCAAGTGATGGACGGCACCGTCAGCACCACCATCACCGAGCGCAAGCCAGACACCGCCGAAGAGGACAGCGGCTCGACCGAAAGCGAAAACTAAGCGAGTCGAAGCGAACGAGTAATCCTCTGGGTGGCCCAGCCGCGCCGGCTGGGTCGCCGCAGGCGGCAGGATGACCTGCGAGAGTTTTGCGAGGCAGCCGAGTTGCTGCTTGGAAGCGTGTCGCCACCTACAGAGGATAGAGACCAAGGTCCATCCAGCTGGCGGCTTCGGTCCGCACTCAAGGGCATCTTGTCGACTTCGTCAACCCAGCCGGAGCGGCTGGGCCACCCAGGTCTTTAAGATCTTTCTTACGACTTGCAGTTGCCTAGCGGGCTTCGTCCACAATTCGCTCGAAACGTTTGCGGTTGCCCTTAGTGTAGTGCGTGAACTGCTCACACAGAGCTTCACCACCGTCGATGTGCAGCACCCCGGCCAACTTGTCGCGGTCGGCTTCATCGCGGGGCAACTCGCTGGGGGTGGCGCTCTGCATCAACTGCAGCCGTGCTTCCATCGTGCGTAGAAAACGATAGCTATCGTCGAAGAACTCGGAGTCTTTCACGCTCAAGTGGTCCGCCTCGGCAAGCGCGGCAATGGCGTCCAGCGTGTTCGACTGCCGTAGCGATTCGTCGTTGCCCGCGAAGCGAAGCTGCAGCAACTGCACGGCGAACTCAATATCAACCAGCCCGCCGAACCCTCGCTTGAGATTGTTCTTCGGTACGGTGTCTTCCAGCTTCTTCCGCATCGAACGAATCTCCTCGGCGTTGCCCGCAGACCACTCAGGCCCGTAGGCAGCCTCGGCAATAACATCCATCGCTCGCTTCGTGGCTTCAGGCGAACCGTATACAACCCGGCTGCGACACAAAGCCTGCCGCTCCCAAAGCTGACCATCGCCCGAGGCGAAGTATCGCTGTAGTTCTTCCAGCGATGTGGCCAGGGGCCCGCTTCTTCCCGTGGGCCGCAACCGCGGATCGATTTCGTACAACCGTCCATGCGGTCCTAAGAAGTTTGAAGTCTTGATCACACGCTGGCCCAACTCGCTGAAGTAGTGCTGGTTGGTCGTGGGCTCCACCCCACGCCCGCGCTTGGGCGGTTGGGTCCGGCCGTCGGCTTCATAGAGAAACACCACATCCAAATCGCTAAGGTAGTTCAACTCCCGGCCGCCAAACTTGCCCATGGCCACAATCAGCAACTCGCACGGCTCGCCTGCTCGAGGTCCCGAGCCAACAATCGGAACGCCAAGCTTTTGGGAAAGTCGCGCGGACTCGCCCGCGGTGATTTGGTGGATGCAAGCCTCACCAATGTCCGATAGCGCCCTAGTGGTGGCTTTGATGCCTTCTTTGCCCAAGATTTCCCGCACGCCAACCCGCAGTTGCTGAGCGTTCTTGAAGCTATGCATGATCGGGTCGATATCTTCCGCCCCGCGACAAAGCTCGGCCAGCGTCGCTTCCAGATCATCGAGCCCCGGCAGTTTGTCCAGCACCAAGCTGTCCATCAGCTCGTCGATCATGCCAGGGTTGCTGGTCAGAATGTCGGACAGCAAGGGGCTCGTCGCGCACATCTCCACGCACAGCCGTAACGAAGGCTCGTTGAAGCTGAACAGGTTCCACAGCGCCGCCTTGCCACCCAGCGAGTCGCTGACTTGCAACAGATGAACCAACGTCATGTCCGGGTCGGGCGTGGCCGCAATCGCACTCAACAACCGCGAGGCAATCGCCGCCAAGAAGTGCCGGCACCGTCGGGGCGACAAGAAGCGAAGCTTCTCGGTCGCCAACCCCATCAGGTTGCGATACGCCTGCGGGATATCGCGGAAGTGGTACGCCGAGAGAATCTCCTCGATGCGTTCATTTGAGGGATCGGGGTCGAGCACCAGGTCGACCACCGGCTCGGTTTCCTCATCGTCTTCAAACGCCTGGCTCAACAGCACGTCGAGCATCGTGCGGTTCTGATCGGTCGCCTGCCGGTAATCATCTTCGAAAGCGACACGAGCGCTGCGTTCACCATCGTCGGCGTAGCCCATGCGAATCGCCAGCTTGCGAATTTCCTCAGGCTGTTCCGGCAGTACATGCTTCTGCAGGTTGAACATGATCTGCAGACGATGTTCGATGTTGCGGAGGAACTCGTAGTTGCCTTCGAGCAACAGCCGCTCTTGCGGGGTTAAACAGCCGGCGCTTTCGAGTGCGGCGATGGCCATTAACGTGTTGCCCGTGCGCACCTCCGGCATGTCGCCGCCGTTGAGCAGTTGCAGGAACTGAATCATGAACTCGATATCGCGAATCCCGCCATAGCCGGTCTTCACATTGCGAGCTTGGGCCGCACCGCTTTGAGCCCGCTGCTCGATTCGGCGTTTAAGCGCCTTGATCCCGTTGATGTCGGCGTAGCCCAGGTAACGGCTATAGATCCAGCTTTCTAACTTCTGCAGAAACTCGAACCCCAGATCGAGGTCGCCCGCCACGGGCCGGGCTTTTACATAAGCCTGCCGTTCCCAGGTGCGGCCATGCACGTCGTAGTACTGCAATGCCGAAGCCACATTCGGCACCATCGGGCCTTGCGCCCCATACGGTCGCAGTCGTAAGTCGACGCGATAAACGTGCTCATCTTTTGTCTTATCGCTCAGTAGCGAGACCACTTCACGCCCAAGGCGGTCGAAAAACTCCTGGTTCGATTGCGGCTTCGGACCGTCGGTTCTTCCGTCGTGGTCGTACAGAAAGATGAGATCGATATCGCTTGAGTAATTGAGCTCCTCACCGCCCAGCTTGCCCATGCCCAGCACAACAAAACGGGCGATCTCTCCGTTCGGCCCGCGAGGTTGTCCGCGTTTGATCGCTAAGTGCCGCCAGGCAAACTGCACGGCCGCATCGACCAGGGCGTCGGCCAAGTATGAAATCTGCGCGGTGACTACCCCCAGCCGTTGTTGACGAATCAGGTCACCATAGCTGATGCGTAATGTCTCGCGGCGGTGATAACGTCGCAGCGCCGCTTGAACCAACTCGACGTCGTCCAGCGACATGATCTCGCTGCGGATCTCGGCCACCAGCGTGTCGCGTTTGACGGTGACCCCTTCGGTCATTCGCAGCAGGTCGTAGCTGCCACCGTCGGTGATCAGCGTGTTGCTCAGGTACTGACTTGTCGAAAAGATCTGCAACAAGATCGGCAAGGCCGCATCGTCGCGCTGAAACAACGTTCCTAGTGACAGCGGACTACGAGCCGATTCGAAGAACCGCTCCAGGTTGTTCAGCGCCATGTCGGCGTCGCTGAGGTGCGGCAGATGTGTGCTCAACTGTTGGCACACACTCAGCACCAGGTCGTAGTCTTGCTTCAACCCGTTCTCGGCAATGGCCAGCAGATTGCGATGGGCCCGAACCGTATCGTGGATGCCTAACGAACTCAGCCAGTCTTTGGCCCGATCCGCATCGTCGAGGTAGGTGCGGAGCTGATCGATTTGCATGATCATGGTGGCGGCGATTCTGCACGAAGAGCAGGAGACTTCTCAATCGGGCGAACAGATCGCCCAGAACCGGAAGGGAGGTGATTGACGACTCGGGGTTTAGATGGGGTTGCGGCGATTACCCTCTTCAATGGAGTGGGTTCTAGTTCTCAGTCGGGCACGTTCAGCGTATATACTTCAGGGCCCACATGCTGGGTCACCATCGAGCCGAACATGGTGTGGGCGTTGGCTTCATCGATTCGCACCGGAACGATCTGGCCAATCTGCCGCTCGGTTCCGTCGAACACTACGATTCGGTCGCACATCGTTCGACCCACCAACTGCATTACCGGGCCGAGATCGCCCTGGCGTTGGCTGGCTTTGCTGGGGCCTTCAACGAGCAAATCGTGCGTTTGCCCGACGAATGGTTGGTTGTCTTCTTCGCTGATCGCATTCTGCACGGCCAGCAGTTCGTTGTTGCGTCGCCGCTTCACTTCTTCAGGAACGTCGTCCTCGAAACGCTCGGCTCCCTTCGTGCCGGGGCGTGCGCTGTACTTGAAGATGAAGCTGTTCTTGAATCGACACTCCCGCACCAGATCGACGGTCAGCTCGAAGTCTTCCTCGGTCTCGCCACAGAAGCCGACGATGAAATCGCTGGTCACCGCCGCACCGGGCACGGTGGCCAAAATCCGCTGATACATCTCACGGTACTCTTCCACAGTGTAGCCACGCTTCATCAGCTTCAGCATACGGTTCGACCCGCTTTGCACCGGCACGTGCAAGTACGGCGAGCACTTCGGCAAGTCGCGCACGGCTTCCAGCAACTCGTCGGACATATCCCGAGGGTAGTTCGTGACGAACTTAATGCGATCGAGCCCGTCGATGTCGTGCAGACGGTAGAGCAAGTCGGCCAGCCGCACCTCGCGGCCGTCTTCGCGGTGCCGGTAGCTGTTGACGGTTTGTCCCAGCAGCGTCACTTCGCGACAGCCTTCGTCGGCCAGTTGTCGCACTTCGGCTTCGATGAGACGCGGCTCGCGACTCTGCTCGGGACCTCGCACCGAAGGCACGATGCAGTAGGTGCAGAACTTGTCGCAGCCGATCATGATTCGCACGAACGCCTGGTACGGCGAAGGCCGCATCTGAGGGTCGCGGAGCGGGTCGTAACTCTCGAAGCTCTGCTCGATCTTCTCGCGCGAACCGGCCGAACGGCTCAGGCTCACTTCAATCTTGCGGCCTTCTCCCGAGGCGATCTCTTTCAGCAGCCGCGGGATTTGATGCAGTTGCCCGGGCCCAACCACCAGGTCGACCTGGGGAGCCCGATCGATGATTTGCTTCTGATCTTTTTGGGCCATGCAACCCAGCACACCGACGATCTTCTCAGGGTGTCGCTGCTTGAGATCCTTCAGCCGGCCCAGGGCACTGTAGATCTTGTCCTCGGCATGTTGCCGCACGCTACACGTGTTGTAGAGGATCGTATCGGCCAGCTTGGGCGAATTGACCAGCTCGTAACCTTCATGGCGCAGGCTCGCGACGACCAGCTCGCTGTCGAGCATGTTCATCTGGCAGCCCACGGTTTCGATGTACAGTCGTTTGGTCATCAGGCTATCTAGGAATCATCTACAACTTCAGGGCCGTATTTATCCGGCGTCTTTCTGAGCCTCTTGTTGGGCTCTTCGTTTTTCGTTTTCGACCCGGATCGTCAGTTCGGTCAGCAGCTGGTCCTGTCGCCGTAACATCAGGCGTACCAGGGCCATAACTGCGACGAAACTGCCGATTCCCAGCAAAACCCAGTCCCAAACGTCCATGTCTCACTCCGACAGTTACCAGGGGTGCCAGGTTCCCATCGTCTCTGAAGCAGCCATCCTATCATAGAGCAGTCGAGGCCGTAGCGGGGAGGGCCGCCTCTACTCCAGGCAATCTCCCGGTTTTACGCGGTAACCTCGCAGGAATTCCTCGGTTGTCTGCATCCGCTTACCGGCCGGTTGAAGGCCGTGCAGCGCCAGGTATCCATCGCCGGTAGCCACCACCAGTTCTGAACCTCCGGCCGCGACGACCTCGCCAGGCTGATGTTCGCCCGCGGCCGCGCGGGACTCGACCTGGTCCAAGATCAACCGCAGTGGCTCGCCTTCCTCGCGAACCCAGTTTGTGTAGGTTCGCGGCCAGGGCTCCATCGCCCGCACCTGGTTTTTGATCTGCTGGGCGGTCCGGCTCCAGTCGACTTCGCCATCGGTCTTCTTCAGTCGCGGGGCCTTCGTCACTTCCCCCGGGTTCTGCACTTCCTCGGCCACCTCGCCGCGGGCGAAGCGGTCGACAATTTCGCAGACCAACGGGGCTCCCAATGCCGCGAGTCGGGCTTCTAGTTCCACCGCGTTTTCGTCGGGGCCAATTGGCGTGCTCCGCTGGGCGATGGCCGGCCCGGCGTCGATCCGCGGGGTCATATGAATAACGGTCACGCCCGTTTCCGCGTCGCCGTGGTAAATCGCCCAGTTGATGGGTGCCGCTCCGCGGTACTTGGGTAGCAGTGAACCGTGCAGGTTGATTCCCCCCAGGCGAGCGGTGCCCAGGGTTTCGGCTGAAAGGATCTGTCCGTAGTCGGCCACCACAAACAAGTCGGGTTCGAGTGAGGCCAGGTGTTCGCGGGCTTCGGGGGTGTTGATCGACTCTGGGTCGTAGATCGGCGTGTCGTGGGCTGCGGCGATGGTCCGCATGGCGTTGGTTTGCGGTTCCTGCTTCTTACGGCGCGAGCGCAGCGGTTGCGTGACGAGGGCCAGCATCTCGTGCGAAGTTTCGTACAACGCGGCGAACATCGGGGCCGCAAATGGGCCCGTGCCCATCATCACCAGTCGCATCAGCGGGTCTTTCGGAAGTTAGGTGCGGAGCTGTTCCAGTTCGGCCAGCCGGGAAGCAATCGCCGCATCGTCTGGAATTTCACCAAGCTCGCGGCGAGATTTGAACTCCAACTCGAAGTCGGCCAGTGGCTCTTTGATGTCGGCCACGCTGGTCTCGCTGAGCCGATCGATGAACAGCACGCCGTCCAAGTGGTCGACTTCGTGCTGGCACGCACGGGCGAACAGCCCGTCGAGTTCCAAAGCCAGCTCGTTGCCCGAGAGGTCGAAGGCGTTGATCTTGATCTTCTCCGGACGGGTCACCTCGGCGAACACCTCGGGGATGCTCAGGCAGCCCTCTTCGCGTTGGGCGGTTCCCTTCCGCTGGGTAATCACCGGGTTGATGAAGACGCGTTCTTCTTCCTTCATCTCCGGGTCTGAGTGCAGGTTCAGGATGAATAGCCGGTACGGCAAGTCGACCTGGTTGGCCGCTAGCCCGATGCCCCGGGCCTCGTACATCAGCTCGAACATCTCCTCGACCATCTTGCGCAGGTCGGCATCCACCCGAGTGAGGGGTTTCGACTTGTGACGCAACGTGGGGTGAGGGTAACGAATGATTTCCACAATCTCTCTCCGATGCCAGGGCAGCAAACTTCGAGTATACGGGCCGGCCGAAGACCCGAAAACCGTGCTGGTGGGCACAATTCTCCAATTCACAACCGTTGCCGCCCTAATTACTTACGTTCGTCGGATTGTTTTCGGTTCGCACGAACACCCGCGTTGACGCCAATGGGGTGCACTCCTAGAATTCGCCACGGGCCTCCGTGTCCGTTCCGCGGGCGACTGTGGAAGCCGGACCAGCAACGCAACTCCTTGTCTCGTCTGGCTCTTGCGTTCGAATCCTTTTCTCAACGGAGCAAGTTCCCACGATGGCCGAATCGGCCGATGGACGTCGGGCGGCAGTGCCGGCCTGGCTGGTGTCCGTACTTTTGCACGCCTCGCTGTTTGTGGCCCTGGGGGTCACCCTCGAACTGACTCCGGAAGGATCGGCCGAAGAACTGCTGCGCGATGTGGGAATCGTGCTGAAGAAGACCGACGCCGAAACCGGCGAAGCAGAGTACGACGGAGAAGACGAAGTTCTTACCGAGGACAGCGGCCAAACGGCCACCGAGGCGCTCGACGAGGCTATCGCCGACGGACCGCCCACCGATCTGAGCTCCGCCTTGCCCAGCGAAGAAGACTGGCTTGGTTCGGCCCAAACCGAATCGGGCTCGCTCGACGCTGGCAACCTGGTGGGCGATTCGACGCTACAGCGAACTCCCCGTAAAGGCACGACGAGCACTCAGGTGTTCGGTGTTGCGGGCGAGGGTTCGAAGTTCGTCTACGTGTTCGACCGCTCGGGCAGCATGGAACGCTCGTTGGGACCCAGCCCATTGAAGGCGGCCAAGGTGCAGTTGCTATCGAGTTTGCAGAGCCTGGAAGCCAACCACCAGTTTCAGATCATTTTCTATAACCAGGAACCGTTCATGTTCATCCCGCGTGGGCATGGCGACAACCTGGTCTTTGCCGACGAGCGGATGAAACTCGAGGCCGAACAGTTTCTCAACGAGATTGCCGCCGTGGGGGCCACCACCGGGCGTGAAGCGGCGCTGCTGAAGGCCTTGCAACTGCAACCCGACGTCGTGTTTTTCCTCAGCGATGTGGATAATCCGCTAACACCACGCCAACTAAAGAAGATCCGCGACCGTAACAAAGGTCGTACCTCGATCAACACCATCGAGTTCGACCGTGGTCCGCCCAAGGGTGGGGCCAACTTCCTGAAACAGCTCGCCCGAGAAAACGGCGGACGCTACGGCTACGTCGATATCAGCAAACTCGATTCGTACTATGACACCACGGCCCAGTAGCCCCATTGCCTTCCGCGTATCCCGGGTACCACTGCTGGCTCGTCCAGCAGTGCCGTTTCAGTACGTAACGAGTTCATGCTTCCAGGCTTCTGCCAAGTGCCAAGCACTGCTGGGCAAGCCAGCAGTGGCACCCACGTTGATCGGGTTAATCTTCTTCGCGGCGCTTTTCTTCAGTGCTCCCACGATGACGGTGGCCGAAGACGTGGTCGTGCTGGCGGCGGGAGCGAATCGAAACTCACAGACGCGTATCGCCGGTGAGGTGCTGGACTACGACGGGGCGAAGCTCGTCATGCGGCTTACCTCGGGCGAGGAGCGGGAGTTTCCTGCGGAGCAGGTGCTCGAGGTTTTGCCCGAGCGTTCTCCCGCACATCAACAGGCCGACGAAGCGTTGGCTCGTCACGATTACGAGACGGCCCTTTCGCTGTACCGCGAACTGAAGAACAAAGAAGTTCGGCGCTGGTTTCGGCAACTGCTGATCGCCAACATGGTGGAGTGCTACCAGAATTTGGGGCAGCTCGAAGTGGCTGGCGAAACGTTTCTGTTGTTGGTGGCCGACAATCCGAACACGCCGTATTTCGATCGCATCCCGTTGGCTTGGGCCCCCAACGAGCCTTCGCCCCAACTGGCGCAACACGCGCGGGCTTGGCTACGGCGGGATGATGTGCCGGCGGCCGTGTTGTTGGGGGCCAGCCATTTGATGAGCACGAACGATCGCCCGGCGGTTCTGGGGCGGCTCGAGCGGTTGCAATTGCACCACGATCCGCGAGTCGGGATGCTGGCCCAGGCCCAGAGTTGGCGGGCCGACGTTGCATCGGCGAGCGAAGACGACTTACAACAATGGCAGCAGGTCATCGAAGCGGCCCCGGCGGCATTGCGTGGCGGGCCGTATTCGGTGTTGGGGCAGGCTTACACGCAACAGCAAGAACCGACGAAGGCGGCGCTGGCGTTGCTGCGGGTGCCGATCAATCATTCTCAGGATCGCGAGTTGGCAGCCCGGTGCCTGTTCCAAGCGGCCGAGCTACTGCAACGCACCGGCCAAAATGACGACGCGATGCAGCTCTATCGCGAGCTGACCGAAGACTATGCCGATCGAGCCTGGGCCGGGCCCGCCGCCCGACGGATGGAAAGTTTGGAAGCCAAGCAGAATTAAGCACTGCACAGCAGAATTGAACCCTGCACAGCGGAGAAGGAAAAGGAAACCTCTCGTGTCTCGATCGAACCCAGCGCGATACCGAACGACGGGCATGATGGCCGTCTGTGGGTTCGTGGCCATTCTTTTCTGCAGTGCGACGTTTGCTTCGCCAGCTCTTGCTCAAGCCCCACCGGCTGGTGAGCCTGATAGTGCGCTGGCCGCCATGGAAGACGCCCCCGCGAGTGATCCCCCGCCGGAGACATTCTTCGAGATTCTCAACGCCGGCGGCGTGGTGGGCTACTTGATCATCGCCTTGTCGTTGGCCGCTGCCGCGCGAATTGTCGAGCACTTGATTACCATTCGGGAATCGGTTCTGGTTCCGCGCGACCTGGCCAAGAGCGTTCGCAAACTGTGCGAGCAGAACAAGATTGCCAAGGCCCAGGAGCAGTGCAACGTGCAGGCCAGCATGTTGGCTTACATCCTGCACTCAGGCCTGCAAGAAGCCAACGCCGGCTGGGGCGAAGTGGAGAAGGCGGCCGAAGATGCCCTGGCCGAACAGTCGGCCCGACTGTATCGCAAGATTGAATGGCTTTCGGTCATCGGCAACATAGCCCCCATGCTCGGTCTGTTGGGCACCGTGATCGGCATGGTGCTGGCCTTCCGCGAAGTGGCCTTCACCCAGGGGGCGGCTCGTGCGGCTGACTTGGCCGAGGGGATTTATCTCGCGCTGGTCACCACCGTGCAGGGGTTGATCGTGGCGATTCCTTCGCTGGGGGCATTCGCGGTGTTCCGCAACCGTGTCGATTACCTGGTGGCCGAAGCCGCTTCGGCCACGCAGTACGCACTTAGTCCGTTGAAGCGACAAACCGACATTCGTTTCGTCGAGCCGCCGCCGGCTCCTGCGAGTGAAGGAGTTCGCTGATGCGCGCTCCCACGCGAGCCAGCGGTGCCGGGCTCGATATCAACATGACGCCGCTGGTGGATATCGTCTTTCTGTTGATTGTGTTCTTCGTGGTTTCCAGCCACCTGGCCAAGCAGGAAATCCAACTTCAGCTCGACTTACCCGGGGCTTCCAGTGCCCGTCGCGCGGCTTCGGCCCATGCCCGCCGGTTGGTGGTCAATGTGTTGCCCGAGGGGCAACTGATGCTGGCCGGTCGCGCGGTCACGGTTGAAGAGCTTGAGAAGATGGTGGAGTACGAACAGCGGCGGTCGAAGGAGTTGCTCGAGGTCCGCATCCGTTCCGATCGTAATGTGCCCTATGAGTTGATCGAGCCCGTGTTGGTGGCCTGCGCTCGTGGTGGCGTATGGAATGTGAGCTTCGCCGTGGTCGAAAGAGAAACCCGCGGCGGGGAAAGCGAAAGATAAAGCAGCATGCGAGTTCGACAACCCCGACAAACCGATCGACGCATCGACGTGAAGATGACGCCGATGATCGATGTCGTGTTTCTGCTGCTGATTTTCTTCTTGTGCACGGCCAGCTTTCAGATCGTGGAAAAGGTGCTGCCCACGCCGCTTTCGACTTCCGGCTCGGTGCAACTCCCGCAGGAGATCGACCTGGAGTTGGCGGAACTTGAGGAAGTGGTGGTCCGTCTGCAATGGGACGCCGGCAAGCCGACGTGGATGATCAACAGTCGGGTGTACGATTCGCTGGAAGACGTGCGCAATACGCTGGCCACGTTGGCTGAGCTGCAGGCAGATCTTCCGGTGATTCTCGACGTTGCCGGGCAGGCCCCGTTGGGTTCGGTCGTTGACTTGTACGACATCTGCCGGATGGCTGGGTTCGAAAAGGTGCAGTTCGCAGCTTCGATAAAGGTGTAGCCACCCCATGCGATTGGCCCTGTGTACATTTCTGCTGCTCGTCGCGATGCTCGCTCCCGGGGTGCAGGCTGTCGAGCCGCAGGGAAATGCCGACCAGCAGTTCATCGAGGGTTTGCGCGAGCGGCACCTTTATCGTCTCGCCCAGACGTTCTGCCTGGAGCAACTTTCGAGGACCGACCTACCCGAAGCTCGTCGGGCGCAGCTCGTGGTGCAGCTTTCGCAGTGCTTTGCCGAGCACGCCTTGCATACCAAGCCGGGCGAGCGGGAGCCGTTATGGCAGCAGGCCGTCACCGTGACCGAGCAGTTTACGGACGAGTACCCTGAGTCGATGCAGTGGCCCAAGGTGCGGCTGCAGACCGCGCTGGTTCTGTTGGCGCATGGTGAATCACTTCGTCGACAACTCGAACTTTCTTCCCAGCCGGGAGACTTGCCTGAAGAGGCTTACGACTCGCTGCATTCGTCGATCGATATTACGGATCAACTCGATCAGTTCTTAGCCTCCAGGCTGCGGGCGGCGAGTCGGCCGGCTTCTGCGCCGGAAGACGATCTCAGCGAAGGCGAACTTCGCTGGTTGCAGATTCAAGCACAGTTCTATAACGCGCTGGCTTCGCTTAACCAGGGTCAACTGTTTCCCATGGGCAGTGCCGATCGGGTGGCCTCGTTGCGTTCGGCGATCGAGCACTTCGGGGCATTGGCTAAGCTGGACGACTCGCAACCGATGGCTTGGAAAAGTCGGGTGGAGATGATCGCCTGTTACCGGCTGATGGGCAACCTGACCGAGGCCGCCCGGCACTTGCAGCATTGGCTTGCCAGCAATCCTCCCGCGGTGGTGCAGACCGAGTTGCAAATGCAGGGCGTGTTGCTGGATTTGGCGCAAGACGATTACACGGCCGCGGTGAACCGCGTTAAGGAACTCGAACAGGGCAACTGGCAGCGAACGGCCGAGTGGGACGACGCGGTGATTCAACTCTTTCTGGCGATCTCAACCGCCGCCGCGGAGAAAGGCGATGCGACGCAAGCCACCGCGTGGCGCAATCAGGCGATCGCCCGACTGCCGCAGATCGCCCGCCACGGACAGTTCTGGAAACGCCGGGCCGAAACACAACTCGCTCGTTCGGTGAGCAACGATGCGAACTCGCCGGATGAATTGCAAACGCTTGCGCGGGCCGCCGCGGGGTTCTATCGCAGTGGTGAGTTTGCGGAAGCGGTCTCTGCTTACGATCGGGCTCGCGTGGCTGCCAGCACTCAGGGACAACAGGATCAGTTCTTCGACTTGAGCCTTACGGCTGCCGCGATCGAACAAGAGCAGGAGAACTATGCGGAGGCGGCGAAGCGCTTTCGTGAGTTGGCCCTCGCGATGCCCGAGCATACCCGAGCGGCCGAAGCCCACATAACGGCGGTGTACAACTGCGCCCGAGCGGCCCGCTCGAAGCGACCGATTGTCTTGGATGAATATCTCGCCTGGCTGGAAGAACACGTTCGTACATGGCCACAGGCTGCCAGTGCCGATCAGGCCCGATGGCTGTTGGCCCGGGTGTATCAACAACAGGGACAATGGGACGAGGCCATTGCTGCTTTGCGGGGCATCTCGCCTGAGAGCTCACAGTTCATTCCCGCGCTGCAAGCGTTGGGCGAGTGCTACGAAGAGAAGCTCGCGAACCTGGCGGGTGCCGGTGAGGACCCTTCGCCCACAGCCACCGAGGCGATGCAGTGGTTCAAGGGTTTGGTGGTTGGTGGCGACGATCGCTGGCCTGAACGATGGAGCCCAGCCCATCGAGAGGCGGCGTTGTTGGCGGCTCAATTCATGTTGTTGCACGCGAAAGATCCCCGCGGTGCTGAGGGGATGTTGCGGCAGGCGATGACCACCGCCGGTGAGGAATCGGCTGCGTGGAACGCGAAGGCAAACGGCTTGCTCGCGCTCGCGCTGGCCGGGCAGGGGCGTTCTGAGGAAGCCATTCCGCTACTCGAGCAGTTGTTGAATGCCCCGGCCGAGCAGCGACTGGAATTGCTGTTAGGGCTGGAAGGGTTGGGTCGTGGGAGTGAATCTTCTTCCGGCGAGCTATCCGATATCCGGCTCGAACTGGCTCAATCGCTGGAGCCGGATCAACACACGATCTCCGAGGAAGAACGCAGCCAGTGGCAGTTGGCCTGGGCACGAGCCTTGGCGGCGGCGGGGAAAACCAACGAGGCCGCGCGACGATACGGGGCCGTGCTGCACTCGGAAAAAGATAACGTGGACGCGCACTACGAATACGCGCAGCTTCTCGCCGACAGTGGCGATCGGGCTTCGCTGGAGAAGGCACTCAAACTATGGCTCGATGTGCTGGCCGCGGCAACGCCTGAGAGTCAGCGTTGGTTCGAAGCCAAGTACCGACTGGCGCAGACGCACTTCCAACTTGGCGACCCCGAGCGGGCCGCCAAGATTATCCGTCTCACGCAAGTCCTTCATCCCGAACTCGGCACACCGCAGCTCAAGCAGCAATTCGCCGAGCTGCTGGCGCGCTGCCAGGCCGAGAGTTCGCAGTAGCAAGCTCTTCGCCAAGCACTACCAAGGGCCACGAATGTAGTACACGCCGAATTGGGTCGTGTCGCTGGGCCACTGGGGAGTGTTTCGGAAGGGGCCGGTGCCGCCAACCGGATAGTAGGGTCGCTTGAACTGGTGGTAGATCGGCACCACGCGGGTGTTCGTCACGCCCCAACCGTACTCGGTGTGGAATTCGGCAGTGGGCGGAACGACCAGAGCCACGGGGACGCCCCAGGCAGTGTGGCGATAACCACCGTGCCAGGGATACATGGCCGCGCGTTGATCGGCGATGGCGCCCATCAACGTCTTCTCCGTCGCCTGGGCGGTTTGCCCTTGGGCTAACACGATGGCTGCGGCGAAGGCCGCGAAGATCAAAATGCGTTTCCGCATAGTGGACGATTCCTTTCTAACCTCAACACACGCCCGGGAGCGGTGGGGTGTATTTGGGAATAGATCGTTGAACCTCTTACATCAAGCTAGTTGCGTTGAAGTGATGGAAGGCTACTGAGGGACGCGCCCCGAATGCTTACCACCACCTCACCGTGGTCTTGGTGCTGCCGCCGGAGATGTTGTAGCGGTAGTATCGTCGACCGTGGCAGTACATCATTTCGTGCGGCATTAGCGGTTGGTACGTGATCCAGGTGTGGCCAACTCGCGGGGGCGTGGGCACCGGGCTCAGGTACAACTGCGCGCCGGTTCCGCCTGGGGGAGTCTGCACGTAGAAGTTGTAGAACAGATCGGGCGGAGCCTGAACGTGGGGAGCGATGCATCCATCGTCGCAGGGGCGTTCGAAGGCGGCCGCTTCGCCGGGAAGAAGAGCGAAGGAGAACAGAATGGCCGACACGGCCGTGAGCCAAAGAGCTTGGGTCGATCGATGAGACATCGCGAGGGCCTCCAAGTCGGGAAGGGAGATAGGAGATAAGCAACTGCCGGGGCGGCATGAAGCGACCGACAAGTCGATGTACCGCAGCGGCCCCCTGAGTCTCAGGGCCGAGTGCGGTACAGCGATTTGCTGGAAGTTCGTGTTCGCCAGGACGGCAAGGTGTGGTGGGCGATGCAGACGTTCGCCAGGGCAGAGGATGCCCCTTGCGGCGAAGGGTCGGCTTCGTGTCTGGGGTGTTCTGCGGGTGGTGATTCAGTGGGGGGAAGACGGCCTGTGAGACCGTCCACGATCATCGTCGGATAGTGACGGCCCTAGGGGTGAGTCTTTGTGTGTCGAATGTCGTAAGAGGTCCTGTTTTGCGGGCCATTCGGCCACGACGGCTTGGGTTTTGGGCCTAGGATCGGTACAATCCGTAAAGTCCCACACGGACGGCCGCTGGCACTTCCGCAGAACCATGGAAGGGATGGCCCGCGGCGTTTTCATTCCGGCCTCGAACCCGAGGCTGCCGTCATGGAGGGCGGCTTCCGCCAGGGATCCCAGCATTTGGGGGATTCCACCTTGCGGATGTCTCCCTTGCCCATGCCAACCGACTTTGTAACTGGGGATCCCGGTATTGGCTGAAACAAGCACTCGGAAGAAGAAAAGCAAACGCTCGACTGCCACCAAGGCGGCGGCCAGCAATGGTCAGGCGCACGAAGGCAACGGCCAGGCGAAGCCCAAGCGGCGTAAGAAAGTTACGGCCGAAATGATGGCGGCCGGTCAGCGCGATATCTCGGTTAGCGAGTTCTTCGCCAAGAACCGGCACCTGTTGGGGTTCGATAGCCCCCGCCGAGCGTTGCTGACCACCATCAAAGAAGCGGTCGACAACGCGCTGGATGCCTGCGAGGAGGCCGACATCTTGCCCGAGGTGTGGGTCCACATCGAACAGACGGCCCCCAACCGCTACAAGATTGGCGTGCAGGACAATGGCCCTGGCATTCTGAAAAAGCAGATTCCCAACATCTTCGGCAAGCTGCTGTACGGATCGAAGTTTCATCGCTTGCGGATGAGTCGCGGTCAGCAGGGGATCGGTATTAGTGCCGCGGGCATGTATGGGCACCTCACCACGGGGCAGCCGGTCAAGATCATGTCGAAGACCGGCCCAAGGAAGGTGGCGCATTACTACGAGATTCAAATCGACACGAAGCAGAACCGGCCCGAGATTGTGAACAACCGCGGCAACGGGGTTGATGTTCCGGCGGGTGCGGCTGGCGAGAAAGAGATCGCCAAGCATGGGATCGAGTGGATCGAAGTTCCGCACGGTACCCGGGTGACGATCGAGCTGGAAGCCAAACACCAGCGTGGTCGCGGGAGTGTGGATGAGTACTTGGAACAGACGGCGATCGCGAACCCGCATGTGCGGTTGCATTACCTCGACCCCGATGGGAACCAGAAGGACTACGAACGTTCGGCCGATGAGCTGCCGCCGGAGGCCAAGGAAATTAAGCCACACCCCTACGGTGTAGAATTGGGTCGACTGGCGGCGATGATCAAGGAGACGAAGGCTCCGACGATGTCGCAGTTCCTCACCAGTTCGTTCTCCCGGGTTAGCCCCGCGGTGGCGAAGAAGATTTGCGACGGGGCCAAGATCAGCACGCGGGCCACTCGGCGGAAGATGCACCGCCCTGAGGTCGAGCGGCTGTACGAATCGATTCAGAACACCAAGATCGCGAACCCCTCGACCGATTGTGTGACGCCGATTGGCGAGCAGCTCATTCTGAAAGGGCTGCATCAGGTGGTTCCGGCCGAGTTCTATGTGGCGGCCACGCGACCTCCGGCGGTGTACCGTGGGAACCCCTTCATTATCGAAGTGGGGCTGGCCTACGGCGGGGCGAATGTGGTGCAGCGAATCTCGCTCGACATGCTGAAGCAGATGCTGAGCGAGAGTGACGCCCGCACGTTGCGGTTGTTCCTCATCAACACCTTCAGCGGATTGGGCACCGAGGCGGCCGATCGGATTTTGAACGAAGCCGACATCGGGGTGCGCGTTTCGCCCGCCAAGCTGAAGCCGAAGGCCATTGCGAAGCTGCACGAAGCGATGCGGAACGTGAACGTGAACGAAGGCCAGTCGATGAACCTGATTCGGTATGCCAATCGGGTGCCGCTGCAGTTCCAGCAGGGTGCTTGTGCGATTACGCAAACGGTGCTGAGCACCAACTGGCGCGGCTACGGGCTGAGCCAATCGAAGGGCTCGTTCCCTTCGGGGCCGGTCACCATTCTGGTGCACATGGCCAGCGTGTGGGTGCCCTTCACCAGCGAATCGAAGGAGGCCATCGCTGCTTATCCGGAAATTCAAAAAGAGCTACGGCTGGGGCTCCAAGCCGTGGGTCGCAAGTTGGGCATGTACCTCAAGAGAAGGCAGCGGGTGCGTCAGCAGGGCGAACGCCGGAACATTTTCCTGCGCTACCTGGGCGAAGTGGCCACGGCCGTGAACAAGATCAACAACACCGATCGCGACGCCCTGTACGAGCAACTGCTCGAGGTGGCCAAGAAGAAAACGGCCGAAGCCGATGCGAAGTTCAACGATCGTGGGCAGTTCATCGACGAGGACGACCCCGACTTCGGCGAGAATGTGCTTGTTGTCGACCCGACGCAGGCCTTGCCAACCGCAGAAGAGAAGCAAGAAGAGCAGGGCGAGGAGTAACGCTGGAACTTGGTGGTCAGTTGAACTTCACGACAGCACTTCGAACAAAGAACTCATAACTTCTAACCGCAGCCATCACACCAAAGCCTGCCATAAGGAACCCAACCGCCGATGGCCAAGAAGAAACGACGTTCACCCGCCCAGCGGGGAACCAGTACGAGTCGTCCCAAGCAAAAGCTGACCGCGGTCGATACGAAGACGCTGCGCGACATCACCAACCTGGCCGACACCGTGGTGGCTGCCGCCGAGAAGAAGCGCGATCCGCACGTCGATATTCCCACGCGATCGCTGTCGAACGTTCGCTTCAACAAGAAGAAAAAGTTCATCGAGATGGGCTCGGCCAAGAATCGGCGGCAGTTGTTCAACTTGTCGCAGGCCAAGAGCTACATGCAAACCATTCTGGTGGCCAGCGGCTGCAAGCAACTCATCGACGAGAGCAAGACCACCAGCATTCGTGGTCTCTACTACCTGTTGAAGCACTCGATCGAAGGCACCAAAGAAGAGACGTTCGACGAACAGTCGGACTGCGACCCGGTGATTGAAGACGTGGAGGTGGCGCTCAACGCTCTGCGGGAAGAGTTGCACGTGTATGCTTCGAACCGCGGTGGGATGGTGGGCCCCATCACGCTGATCGACTCGGGCGATGAAATCGATTGCTCGCGGATGGGTTCCGGCGGGTACAGCATCCCGTCGATCGTCGAGCCGGACATCATCCAGTTCAAAAAGAACGACGCCAAGTTTGTCCTGCATGTCGAAAAAGACACGGTGTGGCGGCGGTTCAACGAAGACAAGTTCTGGAAGACGCACAATTGCCTGCTCACCCACGGCGGTGGTCAGCCGCCGCGTGGGGTGCGGCGAATGCTGAACCGTTTGCACTACGAGTTGAAGCTGCCGGTGTACTGCCTGTTGGATAACGATCCGTGGGGGTACTACATCTACAGCGTGGTCAAGCAGGGTTCGATCAACCTGGCGTTCGAATCGAAACGGATGGCCATTCCCAACGCCAAATATCTGGGGCTCCGCTCCATCGACCTCGATCGATGCGATCTATCGCCGAGCGTGAAGATTAATCTCAGCGATTCGGACATAAAGCGAGCTAAGCAGATCGCCAACTACCCGTGGTTCAAAGATAAGAAGCCGTGGCAGAAAGAGATCTCGAAGATGCTCGACAACGGGTTCAAGCTCGAAGTTGAAGCCTTGATCAGCAAGAACATCAGCTACGTTACCGAAGAGTACGTGCCGGCCCGGCTTGATGCGCAGGATTGGCTGGATTGATGTTTCATCCTTCGGGCTGAGTGCACGTTATCTGGCCGCATTCTTACGTAGGACTTCTCCAGAATTCGCACATTTCAGGTCCCGTGGATACACTAGAAGTAGTTCATCGAATGGTTCTGCGTTGATGGACGGGCCTTCGAAACCACTTCACGGACGGGACGGGAATAGGAAGGAGATGTGCTGTGCCACGACACATTCACGAGCCCACGCGGGTCACCGCGGCGGGGAATAAGCCGAAGCTCATCGATGAGTACATTGGGCTGGTCAACTCGAAGACGCCCGAGATCAGCATCGCCGTGATGCGAAGCCCCGGGGGTTGGGTCGAGCCGGGGCAAACGCCTGAGTTCGACGAGTACACCGTGGTGCTCAAGGGCATGTTGCGGGTGAAGTACCGCGGCGGTGAGTTCGACGTAACCGCCGGGCAGGCCGTGGTCGTTCATGCGGGCGACTGGGTGCAATACAGCACGCCCTCGGATGAAGGTGCTGAATACTTCGCCGTCTGCGTGCCGGCCTTCGACCCTGAGACGGTCCATCGCGACGCGGAGTAGTTCGACGTCACTTCCGGGTAGCCCAGCTTCTTGAAGCTGGGTCGTCGTAGACGACAAGAGGCTTTGAGGCGGGTTCGCTCTTACGGAGTGGTTTCTGTAACCGTTTGTTCTGACGGTACAGCCTCGGGCAGAGATCCGAACTTCACGATTAAGCACAGCGTTGTCCGAAACCTCCAACGGCTGCGCCGCACCGGATCGAGATCCGGTGGCACCCGAAATATTCAGGGACGACTTGGTGGTTTCTTTTGTGCGTCGTCGCTCAATCGATGTCGGGGGCGAGGACTAGTTTGCCGGAGAGGGTGCCTTTGCCGCCGAGGGTGGCTTCTTCTTGCAGGCGATGGGCCTTGGCGGTTTCTGAAAGCGGCATCAGGCGATCGATGCGGGGGCGCAATGCTCCAGAGGCCAGCCAGCGGTTGATGTCTTTGGCGGCCGACTGTTGTTCTTTCGGCGTGGCGTTGAACATGGCGAACCCGAACAGCGAGCAGCCCTTCACATAGAAGGGGCCTACGGGAAACTCGGGACGGGCGTCGCGGCCGGCCATGAGAATCATTCGCCCACGTGGGGCCAACATCTCTACGGTGCGATCGAAGGTGGGTTCCCGCAGCGTTTCCCACCAGACGTTAATACCATCGGGGGCCGCTTGTTTGATTTGTTCGTCGAGATCGCTGTCGTGATAGTTGATGGCGACGTCGGCCCCCAACTCGCGACAGGCTTCGAGGTTCTCGTCATTCCCACCGGTTGTGATGACCTTCGCGCCGATGGCCTTGGCCATTTGCACCACAGTTGAACCGACCCCGCCTGAACCGCCGTTGACGAACAGGGTTTCGCCGGGGGCCAGCTTTGCATCGCGAACCAAGCCCAGCCAGGCGGTGATGCCGACGAGCGAGATGGCCGCCGCTTGTGCGTCGCCGACCCCGTCGGGCGTTGGGTACAGCCATTTGGCATCGACTGCAGCGTATTCGGCGAATGTGCCTTGCCGGCCGAGAAGACCTTGATTGCTTCCCCACACGCGTTGTCCGGGGCGAAGCCCTTTCACGTCGGCGCCGACGGCCTCGACCATGCCGGCCACATCGCACCCCACGATGAATGGCTTGGGCAGTTGCATGGCCACGGTGCCGCTACGGATGTAGGTGTCGATAGGATTCACCGCCACGGCGGCCACCTTCAGCAAGACCTCGCTGGGACCAGGCTCGGGGCGATCTAAATCGCCGTATTGAATCGCCTCGGGCGGACCCGGCTCATTGATAAACGCTGCTTTCATCGGGCACTCGTTCAATGGGAAGGGTTGTGTACACTGACGTCGCTGCGTCACACAGCGGTCGCATTATCCAATTTCAAACCGCTTCAAGCAACGCTCGAGTGTGGCGAAGTTGCGGAGTTTGTACATTGAGAGCAGGTCTCAACGCTTTCGCCTTGGTCAAAGGCGGGCTGGCTTGCCCACAATCCTCAAACGTCAAACACAAGAACAACCCACTCTGTACGCTTACGCTTTCCCGCCATGTCGGGCGAACGGCAGACATTTGCTGCCAGCCCAGGCATGGCGATTGAGGTTCTTTCCATGCTGGAAGTCGTTAAAGAGCACCTGTACGACCACCCAAAGTACTACGATCTCGTGTTTGGCTCCGACTGGCGGGCCGAGTTCGATTTTCTTCGCGAGTGCTTCGAACTATTTGCTGACCGAGAAGTCCGTCGGGTGTTCGAGCCCGCCTGCGGCACCGGGCGTCTGCTGGTTCGTCTGGCTGAGGCGGGGTACGAAGTCAGCGGGAACGACCTCAACGCGAAGGCCGTCGAGTTCTGCAACGCGCGACTTTTGCGGAAGGGCTTTCCTGAGAGTGTCGTGGTGGGCGACATGGCCGACTTCAAGTTGAAGCGGAAGGTCGACGCGGCTTTCAATTTCATCAACAGCTTCCGGCATCTGGCCGATCAGGCTGCGGCGTTAGGGCACATCCAATGCGTGGCCAACTCTCTGGCTTCCGGCGGATTGTTTCTGCTGGGGCTGCACCTCACGCCGACCAAGGGTCTGCCTGAGGATGAAGAATCGTGGTCGGCCCGTCGCGGCAACCTGGTGGTGAACAGCCGGATGTGGAGCACGGGCATCGACCTGACCCGACGGCAGGAGAGCGTCTCAATGACGTTCGATATCTACACCCCCACGCGGCAGTTCCGGATGGCGGAAGACATCGTCTTTCGCACCTACACCGCGCGGCAGATGCGAGATTTGATCGCCGCCGTGCCGGAGCTGGAGGTCGTGCAAACGTTCGACTTCCACTACGACACCAGCGAGCCGATCAAGATCGACGCACGGACCGAGGATGTGGTGTACGTGCTGCGTCGCAGGTGAGTGAAAAAAAGCGAACACCTCTCGCTGCCAGGTGTCGATGTCTTAGCTAGTTGATGTAAAAAAGATCAGGCTAGGAGATCCACTAACTAGGGCACCTATGGATGAATTCAAGATTAAGTCTGTGGCCGGAAGCTCATCGCTCTCTTTACTTGAGCGAGTTCCGAGTGATCCCGCGATTCCCATTCGATTTTACACGGTCAGGCTGCAAGACAGGCGACTGGATGCAGCTGCACGAGTGGATGCTTGGCTATTTTCTGATTACCTACTGAATTTGTGGCGAACCATCGCAGTCAATTGGCAGGTATTCAGGGGTCCTGAGGAATGGTCTTCGATGGAGGGTGAATTCCTGCTTCAAATCAGCCATGACGGAAGAGGGCATTTCTCAGTCAACGCAGACTTGAGCTCGGACCTCTACCCACCAAAATGGAATGTCAGGACCTCAGTTTTAATAGAAACTTCTCAGTTGGATCGTATCGTATTCGAGCTGTCGGAATTCATCGGATCGCATGAAACAACGTGATATCAACTGTGGACAGACAGAAAGCATTACAACAGAGTTGCTCGTTAAGTTTTGTCGATCTGGTAAGATCATGTTCAAGCTGAGTTCCCACGGCTAGGCCGATAAGCTTAAAGCGACACCACTTCCCGGCGAGGAGCACGCCCTCATGACCGCGCCCCGATTCACTGACGACGAGGTTGCCCAGTACCACCGCGATGGGTTTGTTCTTGTTCGCAATATGTTCGAGGCGGACGAGATGAAGATCTTGATCGATTTCGCGCGGCAGGATGCGGCTTTGGCCGAGGGGGCGTATCAACGCAAAGATGCCAGCGGGCAGGGCACCAAGCTCACGCTATGGAATCATGCGGGCGACGATCTTTACGGCCGCTTCGCACGGTTGCCGATCATCGTCGATCGGATGGAGCAGATTCTCGGCGGCGAGGTTTACCACTGGCATACGAAGATGATGCTCAAGGAGCCTTACGTCGGTGGGGCGTGGGAATGGCATCAGGATTATGGCTATTGGTACAACAACGGATGTTTGTACCCGTTGCTGGCCAGTTGCTTAACGGCCGTCGATCGCGCGACGAAGGCCAACGGTTGCTTGCAAGTGCTCCGCGGCTCGCATCAGCTTGGTCGGATTGATCATGGGAAAACGGGCGACCAGGTGGGGGCCGATATGGAGCGGGTTGAAGAGGCCATGAAGCGGCACGAGTTGGTGTATGTGGAATGTGAGCCTGGCGATTCGCTGTTCTTCGACGGCAACTTGCTGCACTGTTCGAGCCAGAACACGTCGCCTGACCCGCGGTGGTCGCTCATCTGTTGCTACAACGCGGCTCGCAATAGTCCCTACAAGGAAACCCGACACCCGAGTTACGAACCGCTGGAACGTTCGGCTCCCACGGCCATCAAGGATTGGGCCAGCGAACAAGCCGAAGCCAGTTAAGCGTCGGCCGGAGTTTGTCTCTCGCGAGATCAAATCTGGCGGGGGCGTCGGGAGATGAGCACGCCACCGAAGATGGTAAAGCCCAGCCCGATTGCGCAGACAGCGAGGCCGACCCAGGTGAAGCGGCGGTAGCGCTCTACGAACTTGTCGCGCATGTGCTCGTGCGCTCTAAGCCCCGGGGTGTTGTTTTCGACCGGCATGGTCTCGAGCGAGCGGGGCATCTGCACCCATTCCATCCACAGTTCGGCGGGGCTCATTGCCTCCACGTCTTTGCCGTGAGCGGCCTTGTCGATGCGGAGGGTGAAGTCGAGGTTCTCATTGAACTCTGCGACTTGCCATGTGTAGATGGTGCCGATAAGGCCTAGCAGCAAAACGGATATGCCGAGGAGCAGCATTCCCTGCCCGGCGCCCCAGGTGCTTGTGGGGGGCGTGACTTCCTCGCTGGCTCGTTCGCAGTTCGCAAGCCCTCGCATGGTGGGAACTTTTAGCACTTCCCCACAGGGGCATTGAACGGTGAGCCCGGCTTGCGTGGCATCGACGGTCACCTGTTCGCCACATTCGCAGGGCAGAAGATATTTGGTTGTCATAGCTCGAAGAACGTTCCGAGAGAAGGATTGTCGAAGAAAGGCATTATCACGCAAGAAGTATTACTCTGGCACGCCGGAGCCTCGGGCAGCCCACCAGGGCAGCGTGATGCCGCCATCTATCTTTAGTGTACTTCCCGTGACGTAATCGCTCTGCGGATCGCAGAGGAAGGCGACCCCCCGCCCAATTTCCTCGGGCTTGCCGAGTCGTTTCCAGGGCAGTTTTTCTGCCGCCGCGGAGATCTGTTCCTCGGTAGCAAACCGCCGCTCGCCGGGGGTGTCGATCCAGCCGGGGCAGACGATGTTGACCCGAATGCGATGATCGACCAGTTCGATGGCCGCAGTTCGGGCCATTTGTTCCACGGCCGCCTTCGCTGAATTGTAGGCCATCGATCGCGGGATGGCTAAGTACGCGTGGGGCGAACCAATACAGACGATCGATCCCCCGTTGCCCGCGTCGATCATCTGTAGCGAAGCCGAGCGGAGCAGATGAAACGCCCCCCAGTACGTCACATCGAACGTTCGCCGGAAGCCTTCGACATTGGCCTCGGTGAACAGGTTGCGTTCGCTGTAGGCGGCGTTGGCCACCGCGATATCAAGCTGACCCAATTGTTCGACCGTGGTGGACACTAGGGCGTCGACGGTTGCCTGGTCGGAGACATCGCCGGAGACGGCGATTGCGCGACGGCCGAGCTTTTCGATTTCGGACAGCACTTCGTCGGTGGCGGCCGAATGCTCGCGGTCGTTAACCGCCACGTCGGCTCCGGCCTTGGCCAATTCAAGGGCCACTCCGCGACCGATCCCTTGGTTGGCCCCAGTGACCAGGGCGACCATTCCCTTGAGTTGCACGAGACGCACTCTCCGCTGGCGAAAACTGAAGACAGAGGCCCACACCTCACGTGTTGCTTCATGCTACTGGTCGCTGGGGGTACTCACAACCAACGCGGCGATCGGCTTGATTGGCAACCGATGAAGTAACCCCGTTATGATGGGCGGCTTTCAGGCATACGTATATCAACCGTGGGGAAGTACGTTACCGATGGACATCATCGACACGCATCAGCACCTGTGGGACCTCGATCGACTGGAGTTGCCGTGGATCGAGGCCGGTTCGATCTTGAACCGCAGTTATCTCACGGCCAATTACCTGCAGGCCACGGGGGCGCATCGGGTCACGAAGGCGATTTACATGGAAGTGGACGTCGCGCCGCGGCTTCGTGCGGAGGAGGCGCGACATGTGATTGAGCTGTGTCGCTCGCCCGATCACCCCACGGTGGCCGCCGTGATTGGGGGGCACCCCGGCACGTCTGGCTTTCGCGATTACGTAGCCGAGTTCAGTGGCAACGAGTATGTGAAAGGCATCCGGCAGATTCTTCACCCGCCCACCTTCCCGGCGGGTCATTGTTTGGAGCCGCAGTTCGTGGCCGATGTGCAGTGGCTGGGTACCCAAGGGCTTTGCTTCGATATCTGCATTCGTCCTGGCGAGCTGAGCGATGCAGCCGAGCTGGCCAGGCGTTGTTCAGAGACGCGGTTTGTGCTTGACCATTGTGGAAATCCCGACGTTCAGGCGGGGGACGCAACTGCTTGGAAGCACGGCATCGACGCGGTGGCCGGCTGTGCGAACGTGGTCGGGAAGATCTCTGGGCTGATTGTTACGGCCGACCCTGCGACTTGGACGGCAGGGGACTTGGCCCCCTGTGTGAATCACACGCTTGATGCGTTTGGGCCAAACCGGGTGATGTTCGGCGGCGATTGGCCGGTTTGCACGCAGACGGCTCCGCTCGATCGGTGGATTGGGGCGTTGAAGGAGATCGTTTCGTCGCGCTCAGTCGAGGAGCAGCGACGTTTGTTCCATAACAATGCTGCGGCCTTCTACGGTGTGTGAAACTTGCCCGATGCTATCAACCGCGAGAGGGGGGCGAACCTGAGGGCCAAAACATTTTTCTGCGTCCATTGCATAAACAATGGTGGACCCGAGCCGCTTAAGCGCTACAATTCGATCAGCCAGGTAAGGCGAACTCCGAGAATGCGTTCACGATGAAGAACGCTCGGAGCACAGACACGGCACTCCCGCCGAATGCCGGTCTAAAGAACAAACCAATTGGTTTTGTCCTTCGCCATCGGATTTAGGCACCCTCGCACGAGGCGAGTCATATGCGTGACCGTTTCCCCACCCGAATGGCCTCTGCCGCACACAAGAATTCTCGGGCGGCTTTCTCGAACGATGTGGTCAACGAATCGACCAATACAACGTTGCGAAACAATGCGCCGTCGCAGAGACGGTTGGCAATGTAGGTAATTTGGGTAGAAAAAGATCTTTGGTGAAGTATGCCCCTACAGAGATCAATTCTTAGCAAGTGGCGAGGCGGCCCAGCAAAAGATCAAAATCGTGTTAGAATTTGGTGGATTTTTGATTCGCAAGTTGAGATAATTCGAGGTTCGGGAACGTCGCACAAATTGACGCCATGTCCCCGCCGTGAGGTCTTCCACACCAATACGCGGCTCACTCCAACATGGCCAGCCTCACCTGTGCATCTGCGACGCCACACGCCCCGCCTTCATTCCGTCTCCAGTTTTCATGATGCCTGCTACCAATAGGAGTGCAGAGTTGTACAACGCATCTTTGTTGGAAGATATCGACGATGAACCCGCCGTGCTCTCGGCCGAAGCTTCGGAGGCGGAAGAGAAAGACGACGACGCCGACGGTTTCGACGACGTGGTGGATGAAGTCGACGACGATAAGGAGCCGTCGCTGGATCATGTTCGCGCAGACGAACTACTCGCGGGAGACGATTCCGAATCCTGGTCAGACGATCCCGTCCGTATGTATCTCACCCAAATGGGCGAGATTCCGTTGCTCACCCGTAAGGAAGAAATCTCGCTCGCTCGCGAGATCGAAATCACTCGGGCCCGCTTCCGTCGTAAGTTGCTCGAGTGCGACCTGTTCCTGCGGAGCGCCGTGAAAGACTTGGTTCGCGTGCAGAGCGGCGACCTGCCGTTCGACCGCACGGTGCAGGTTTCGGTGACCGATCGTCTGGAAAAAGAGCAAATTCAGGGCCGGTTGCCGCACAACCTCCGCACCCTGGAAACCCTGCTGAAACGCAATCGCCGCGATTACCGCATCGCCACGGGCAAGAGCTACCGCAAGGCTCAACGCATGGAAGCCTGGCGTCGCCTGGGCCTCCGCCGCCGTCGGGCTGTGTGCCTGGTAGAAGAGTTGGGCCTCCGCACGCAACGTATCGAGCAAAAGATCGCCTCGCTGTACCAATACAGCCGTCGGGTCGATCAATTGCAGGCCATGATCGTCGACCACAAAAAGCGTCGTGGCCCTGCGGCCGAACGCCAGGAGTGGATCGCCGAGTTCCGCAACATTCTGCGGGGCATGCAAGAAACTCCCACCAGCTTGCGGAACCGCTGCAAGTATGTGCGCGAGATTTACGCTCGTTATCAAAAGGCCAAGCGAGGTCTTTCGGAAGGTAACCTGCGTCTGGTCGTGTCGATTGCCAAGAAGTACCGCAACCGTGGGTTGAGCTTCCTGGACCTCATCCAGGAAGGCAACGCCGGCTTGATGCGGGCCGTGGATAAGTTCGAATATCGTCGTGGGTTTAAGTTCTGCACGTACGCCACGTGGTGGATTCGTCAGGCGATTACCCGCGCGGTGGCCGACCAGAGCCGGACGATTCGTATTCCCGTGCACATGGTCGAAACGATGTCACGGGTTCGCAACATTTCTCGTCAGCTTCTGCAAGAGTTGGGTCGCGAGCCCACCATTGAAGAAGTCGCGCGAGCTGCGGGCACGGCCATCGATGAGACGCGTCGCGTGATGGCGATGAGCCGTTACCCGATCAGCCTCGACCGCCCGGTGGGCAACAGCGAAGACAGCCACTTCGGCGATCTTCTGCCCGATGGGACGGCCGAAAGCCCGGCGACCGGTGCAGCCCAAGAGATGCTCCGCGACCGGATCAACAAGGTCCTCAAGACGCTGAGCTACCGCGAGCGAGAGATCATCAAGCTCCGCTACGGCCTGGGCGACGGCTACAGCTACACGCTCGAAGAAGTCGGCCACATCTTCAAGGTCACCCGCGAACGTATCCGACAGATCGAAGCCAAAGCCGTAAGAAAGCTCCAGCAACCCAGCCGCAGCCAAGAACTCTCCGGCTTCCTGGACTAAGCAGCAACAGAAAACTTGAGTAGCGCGAAAGCCGGCGGATCAATCAGATCCGCCGGCTTTTTTTGTATACAGAGGGTTGTTATTTGCAGAGTTGCGTTGGTCATGCTTCCCGCGCATGACATATGGGCTATTCCTTCGCTAGTGGAATGGTGATGACGAGTCCTGCTGTGCGGTCTTTCGTGTCGGTCCGATGTGGGACGTGACACTTCAGGCATTGAGAAGCCAGTTGAATGGTGCCGGCATGTCGGTATTTGGTCGCATCACTGAATTCAAATTCCTCCTCTCCGGAGGCGAGTGCTTTGACGGCGTTTCTTTCGAATTCGGTTTGAGGCTCGTGATCCACATTCATTGCATCGGCATTCACGGCCAGCCAACGCAGCTCGACACCGTATCTGCGGGTTAGTTCGTGGAACACATCCTCCAGCGACTGAGACGGAATAGTTAGCTTCTCATCCTCGCGAAAGAAGTCGCGATGCATGACTTGTAGTGCCCCGTGAATGGTTTCGTGCAACAGTTGGGCACGACCGCGTGCCTCCGAGACCGTGGTCGGTGGGTCGGCGTGCACATTGGTGTTTACATTGTTCTTTTCGGCAGCTTCAACTCGATGAGGAGTTAGAAGCTCATCGATTCCGAGCATGGAGAGCAAGTTCGCCGTTAGGAATATCGCCAAGAGGGTGCCTGTCGTTTTCTTGTTCATGTTGCACGCGTTTCTGGTGGAGGCGGCTCGCAGCTTGCCTGAGAGAACTAAGAGGGAGTATTTCCACAGTTGGCAGTCGGGTGTCATCGGCGCTACTTACTGGAGATCAAAGGCCGCGACGTTCGGCTCTCCTCATATGTGACGTACACAACCCTACGGACACTGCAAGCAGCTATTTTAAATTCTGAACCATCGCCGAGCCAATTCGAGTGCCCCGCAAAATTGTCGCATGCAATTCATGTCTCTGGCTACTAAGACTTGGCACAGACAGTGTGGCGAAGCTGGCCATGAGCCGTGTGCAGGCTGGAAGCAGAGGCTTGAAAGTTTTTGCCAGGTAGTGTGCCTATGTTGGGGCAACAAACCACTGAATTGTCATGCACGGGGTGCATGACCTACCGACTTCACTCTTGCGGCAAGTCGTCCCCGAGTTCCTGGACGAGAAACGCTTCTCGGTAAGGGGCGGGAATCACAGTAACACTTTCGAGGTTTTGTCTGTCCGTTAGATGTCCGATCATCCAGAGGGCATTTTTGGCTACCGTGTTGTCGTAGCTTTGAGAGGCTTGGACGAGTGCAGGAAGCCATGACTTGCCGGGTCGTCCTTCAGCGAGTTGCACTTCATGCAGTCGAAGTATCTCAGCGCGGAGATCTGCTTCCGAGAGCTCTTGCCATGAGTCCATGAGCGGTTTGATTTCTCTCAGGGATTCTTCTCTTGTTGCCTTGAGGGCCAGCGGCAAGAAATCGAAGTCCCAGTAAAGCTCCCGCAGCAAGATCTTTGATCCTGCTTCGCGCTCCTCCACCGTGGGAGCTTCCAAGAGACTAACCAAACACTCGAAGAACTCTGGGAGATACTCTGGGAATAATGAGGAGACTGCGGTTGTGACTTCAAAGTCTATGCTGACGAAGCCAAACGAGTTTAGTCTCATGCGATCGGCATGCAGAACGTAGTCGACATAACGGTTCAGCATCTCAGGGTGATCGGAGAAGAGCAGCGCCTGAAGGGCAGTATACGAGGAATCGTTTTCCAGCAGCGTTTCGGAAACAGTTGCTAGTTCCTTGAGGTAATACGGTCGGCCGTACCTCACAGCAGTTGCCAGGAGCCAGCAGCGATCCGAGTCTCGCATATGCTTTCGGCTGGCCAATAGATTCGTCAGTTTCGTTTGGGCTTCTGGGGCTCTGAGTAGCAGCAACGCTCTTACAGCCTCCGTCGATCCTGCGTAGCTCTGCGCCTCGATACTCTTGTCGACTTGATCTTCAAGTTCTCTTACCGACGGGACTAATTGCTTTAACCTATGAAGGTCGACCTCTTGCCTTCGAGCTAAGGATTCCCAGTTTGAAGTGGTGTATTGTTTGCGAATGTTGCGACGGGCTTCTTCTATAGCAGTGGAATGCCGTTCGTGAGGGTCGTCGTCGAGGTAGCCGCCGAAGTAACCCCAGAGCGTTCGATGGGGGTCTGATGAACTACCGGTGGCGGAGAGAATCGGGCCTAGCTTCCTGAGTATGTAAGGCATCAGGTCCGGAGGAGAACGCTGAGCCGGAGTTGTGCAGCAACTAGGATCTTCAGTCAAAGCTTTCAACGACCAAGCCGCATTCTTCGAGACGCCCTCCTCATCGAGAAGATCAACTAGAAGGTCAGCGCTCTCCCTGCTTTTTATATACCCAAGCCCGCTGACTACCGCGCGGCGAACCGGTTCAGGTGCATGCCCCAGCAGGTCTCCAAAATCCCTCCAGGCTTGCTGAGGTCGAGTCAGAGCCATGATTTGAGCCGCCCGGCTCATTATGGGGTATTGCAGATCTTGAGGATCGCTACTAGTCAAGATCGCTTTGGCTTGGCCATAAACATCGCCTTCGACGTCGCCCATCGTGATGAGTGCATCGAAGCTGAAATACGGTTTGCGAAGCTCGTAGGGGTCCTTCTCTTGCAGTCTCTCAAAAAGAAGGTCGATCACATCAGGATCACGCGTGATTGCAAGTTCTTCCAAGGCGTCTCGAGCGAGAAGGCCATCGTTTGGTTGTAGGAGACGAAAGGCCAGGTTCGGCTGTTGGCCATTCAGCGCTTCGCGCCAACCCGAGATTAGTTCCTGAGACTGGACTTGTAACCGCCTCTCCAGTGCAGGTTCGTTAGCCAAAGGAAGAAAGTAGATAAGAGGTTCCCGAATATCTTCAACGATCGGGACCGGTATCAAGTCCCCTGGATTCATCAGTTGCTTCTTGTAGCAAAGTCGGGGAACTCCATCCTCATCGGTTGGCATTGAGGAGAAGAAGTAAGGGGGGCGAGTTGACATGCAGTAGTTGTGCTTCAGGTCAACCTTTATCTGGTCACCTTCAGCGATTTCGGTTCCACACAAAATGCTTTTAACAGTGATCGTGAGTGATTGAGGTTCATGGCTCTTGTATCGCGCAAGTACAACGACTTCGCACTGAAGCATCTCCTCATAAGTTAGGGGCTGCTTCATGTCGTAGTATATGTCTGCAGCGCATGGCGTAGACAAGAAGACTGCAGATAGCAGCGTTATTGAAATGCCGATGGAGCCATGTATGGCTGACACAAAATCGTCCTCCCCGTCGAATTGGAACCGTCAACTTTAGGCTACCAATCCCCTTAGAATCGGTCACGAAAATGTGGGTACGCCGCATGAATTGTCATGCACGGGGTGCATGACCTACGGGGGCATCTTGTCGCTACTTCCTTGACCCGCCCCCAGCCACCTGCTAATCTCCTTGGCACGTGGCGTTGGTGGTTGGTGGTTCCTCTGAACTGCCGACGAAACAGGGAACTCCGGTGAGATTCCGGGACGGCCCCGCCGCTGTGACCGAGATGAACGAGGACGGCCTTTCTGTTGCCATTGTCGTTGTGGTTCGCCCCCAACGATGAGAAGGCTTGGACGACCTCGGCTCGGGAGTCAGAAGACCTACCAACGCATTGTCGGCAGTGCTCCTCGCGGGGGGAGGCTGCGGAATTGGTTCGACGTATCGCCCCAGGCGATCGACAGAGACCGCGTCGCTGTGCTGGTAGTTGCCCGAACGTACTTGCGTTGGGGTTCCCCATGCGCGGCACTCGCGAGGGAGACTCCTCATGCCAGGTACCGCCAAGCGGTCGCACGGCCGTCGGTGTGCGCTTGCTTCTCATTCCGCCCGTCAACTCTCGGGCCTCGCGGCACTCGAGCCGCTGGAAGACCGGCTGCTGTTGACCGCCTACACCGATTACGACGTGCAGCCGGGTGAGCAGTTCAGCCTGCCAAATACGCCGGCGGTTGCGAATCGCGGCCCCACGGTGTTCGACAACCTGAGCGACGGCCGCATTGTGATGGTGTCGACGTACCTGGCGAACCCCTTCGATAGCTTTGGCACGCCGGAGGTCTACGTCGAAACGGCGGTCGGTTCTCGCACGTGGCAGTCGCTGGGAAACCTGTCGCTGGCTTCCGGTGGGCAGTGGTTCGCCTTCGGCGGGGCGTTCCTCGATGTGTCGCCCGACGGGAGTAAGATCGCCGTGGGCGACAACTCCTTCACCACGCAACACGTCGGGGTGTTTGAAACGGCCGACTTGCTGAGCCTGGGGGCCGGATCGATGCCGGTCGATTGGTACACCGTGCCACATTCTGAAGGTGAGTGGTACGACAATCGTTACCTGGCCCTGAACGACGGCGACTTCAACACCAGCCAGGTGAGCCTGCTCGATACGAACAGCTCGGTCGCATCGCCGGTGAACCCCGACATTATTACGGGTGTGGGCGGGGCATCGAGCGGGTTGGTGTTCGACGCCGATGGGAATCTTTACGTCGGGAACGGATTCGACACGCAAAGCGGAGGCAGCAGTACTGGCGATGTGAAACAGTTTTTGGCCGCCGACTGGCAGAACGCCTGGACGACCTCAACTCCGTTGAACTACGAATCATCCGGGTCGGTTTATGCCTCGATGTTGAGTGCCAGTGCCCTGGAATTCGATAACGAGGGCAACCTCTTCATTGGCGGAAGCGACTACTTCGGCTCCGGCGACGCCGACTACCTGGGGCTAGTGCAAAACCCCGACGACGGATCGGGCACAAGAACATTCGACCCCGATACGGCGGCTACCAGTTTTTATGTGCTGGTTTACAACGAGGTAACCGGGGAGTTGTACGCCAACGAACCGTTCGCCCTGGTCGAGGCCATCGACAATACTGCTGTGTTTGTTATCAGGCCCGTAGCGTCGGCCACGGCCGACATTGGTGGTCCTTACTCGGGGAATGAAGGGTCGCTCATCGCTCTGAGTGGTGCCGGCAGCACGGGTGCCACGCTGTATGAGTGGGACTTGGACAACGACGGTCAGTACGACGATGCCACGGGGGTTAGCCCCAACTTCAACGCGGTAGACAATGGTGTTTACACCATCGGCCTGCGAGTGAACGGGCCTGGTGGTGCAACCGATTCGACGACGGTCACGGTGAACAACGTGGCTCCCTCGGTGGCTATCTCTGGCACCACGGCCATCTACCGCGGTGAAGAGGTGACCTTCACGCTGACCGCCACCGATGCTTCGCCCGTTGATCAAGCTGGTTTGTTCACGTTTGAAATCGACTGGGACGGCAACGGTTCGGTCGATCAAACCCTGGTCGGGGTGCCAAGCGGGACGACCGTGCAGCACGCGTTCCCGAATCTCACGCCTGGAACGAACATTCAGGTGCGGGCGACCGACAAGGACGCTTCGACCGGCAGCTTCAGCCAGTTGCCCATCACAGTTACACCGCACGTGTTGCGTGACGACGGGTTCGGCAACACCGACCTCATCTGGGGTGGTACTCCGCTGTTCGATGCGGTGTTCGTCCTGGGTCAGGCTCCTGGTATGTCGATCTACTTCCAGATCGAAGGGCTTATCCCGCAGAACCGCTTGGTGTTCCTCGGCTCTGCCGTCACGGGCCGTGTGATTCTGCACGGTTATGGGTTCACCGATATCCTGGCCGGCGAGTTGGGCCCGGGTAATGTGATGGAGATTTACGGCGGCGATGGCGACGATATCATCGTCGGTGGTTCGCTGGGCGACTTCCTCTACGGCGGCAATGGCAACGATGTCATTATCGGCGGCACACGCGCCACCGATGGTGGTGACTATATCTCCGGTGGCGAAGGTCGTGACTCGATCTACGGCTACCTGGGTGCCGACACGCTCGATGGTGGTGGCGGCGAAGACTTGATCGTGAGCGATCACTTCTTGTTCACCGACCAGCACTCCGCCATTCAGTCGATCCACGAAGAATGGAAGTCGGCCCGACCGTATTCCGAGCGGATCACCAACATCATGGGCATCACCTCGACCGGTGTGAACGGTCAATGGAAGCTTCAGCCCGGCGTGACGATTGTCGACGACGGTGCCGAAGATACGCTGATCGGCGGCCTAGGTGCCCTGGACTGGTTCTTCTACGACTTCGATGAAGACCTGCTGGGCGACACGATTGAAATCGGCGAAGAGGAAACGGATAGCGACCCGTAAAGGGTTGCCGTCTGGGAGAACGCTCCATGCGAATCACACGAGAGGACATTTCGAATCGACGGCGCGCTGCTGCGCAGGTGCGTTCGAGCTTTCCTCGTGGTGCCTTCACGCTGGTCGAGTTGTTGGTGGTGATTGCCATCATTGGCATTATCACCGCGTTGTTGCTGCCCGCGGTGCAAATGGCCCGCGAAGCCGCACGCCGCACCCAGTGTACGAATAATTTAAAGCAGATCGGTCTGGCGGCCATCAACTATGAACAGCAGTTTCGCTATTACCCTCCCGGTTGTACGGAATGCGGTCTGCTTCCGTCTCCCATTGAGAAACGATTGGCGTGGTCAACGCTGCTGCTTCCTTTTCTCGAGCAAGAGCCGTTATGGAAGCAATACGACCGTTCGCTTCGCTTCGATGCAGAGGAGAACCGGCCAGCTACGACCACCGTGCTGCCTGTGTTCCTTTGCCCGAGTACTGCCAACCTGATGGACGATCGGCGGGATGAGTTCATCGGTGACTACAACAAGAATAACAAGATTGATAAAGGCGAAGGGCTGGCCTGCACCGACTATGCGGGGAATTTTGGTCTGCAGAAGTGGGGGCCCGACAACTACCCAGTGGGTGTGCTGATCTTCAACCGCCCCATTCGCGAGGCCGAAATTCTAGACGGGCTTTCTTTCACCTGGATGGTCGGCGAATCGACCGGACGTGGCTATCGGGGCGATGCGGCCTGGGCCAACGGCCGGAATCTCTTTGATACGACGACCCACCCGAATAACGAGGCGTTGCGCGGGTCGGACGAACTGTTCAGTGATCATCCCGGTGGGGTGAACGTCGTGATGTGCGGCGGATCGGTGAAGTTCATTCAAGAGCAGATCGACCTTGATGTGCTGTTCGCCCTGTGCACCCGGGCCGGTCAAGAAGCGATTAGCAGCAACGATTACTGAACCGTAAATACACAAGAAAAGTGTTTGTTTTTACTTTGTAAGGAGCAGCTTCATGAGACGCATCTGTGAGTTTGCAGCAGCTTTGGCCGTGGTGATTGCCACAACGAACGTATCTCTCGCAGGGCCGTATTCCCCGGCAGCGGGCCAGCCGGGGTCTTCGGCGGTGAGCAACACCGATACCAGCATTCTGGGGTGGGCCACCGGGTTCGAGAATTTGATTCGTGGACCGTTGGATATCGCCAACCCCGGCGGGGGCGACGCTTCTTATGGCACTGGGGCTGAAGCGGTTGGTCCTGCTTCGGGTGTGTCTGCCGATGTGGTGAGCCTGGGCGATGGTGGGCAGATTACGCTGACCTTCGCCACGCCAATCACCGATCGCCCGGGAGCCGACTTTGCCGTGTTCGAGAATGGTTTGCAGTTTGGTGCCGACTATTTTCTTGAGCTTGGTTTTGTTGAGGTCAGCTCGGATGGGACCAACTTCTTCCGCTTCGATGCCGTGTCGTTGACGCAAACCGTCACGCAGGTTGGTGGTTTCGATCCGTTGGACCCGACCGACTTGAATAATCTGGCTGGTAAGTATGTGGCGGGGTACGGGACGCCGTTCGATTTGAACGAACTCGCTGGGGTCTCGGGCCTGTTGGACATTAGTAATGTGACCCACGTTCGGGTGCTCGATGCGGTGGGGTCGCTCGATCCCGCGTATCGCACGCTGGATTCGCTGAACAACCCGGTGAATGAGCCGTATTCCACCGCGTTCGCCAGTGGTGGGTTCGATCTCGATGGCGTGGCCGTGCTGCACCAGGTGCCCGAGCCGGCCACTTGGGTGATGTTGGTGACGGGGATCGTCGGGCTGGGTGTCGTTCGCCGACGACGTCGTTAGAACACGAGACGTTTTCTTTCGCATTTCGATCTGCGATCATGGTCCCCGCGGTTTTTTAGAAGTGGTTTCGTCACCTCACCTGGGTGCCACTGCTGGCTTGTCCAACAGTGAAGTGTCCGCGGCAGGCGCTGCTGGACAAGCCAGCAGTGGCACCCTCGGACAAGTGAAGTCAGGTGATGAAACCGCTTCTTGGCAACCTTGGCCACGGGCATCAGGGGACCATGACGCAGTCGAAGCATGTTCTGAAGCACAACGCGCGGGCCTGGGATGCGCGGGCTCGCGGCGGTGAGCGGTTCACGCGGCCCGCCACCGAAGAGCAGTTCCGCAATCCTTTGGCGGCGCTCGATTCCAACGGCTGGCTCGGCGAGAACATCCGCGACAAGCACATGCTGTGCTTGGGTGCTGGCGGGGGAAAGGCCAGCGCATTGTTCGCCACCGCGGGGGCTATCGTGACGGTGGTCGATATCAGCCCCGAGATGCTGGCCATCGATCGAAAAGTGGCCGCCGAGCGGGGCCTCGAAGTGACCACGGTTGAAGCTTCAATCGATGATCTTTCGGCCTTGCCCGAGGCTCGCTTCGAAATTGTTTCGCAGCCGGTCAGCAGTTGTTATGTGCCCGATGTGAAGGCGGTGTATCGCGAAGTGGCCCGGGTGATCGTCGATGGCGGTCTGTATGTGAGCCAGCACAAACAGCCGGTAAGTATGCAGGCGGTGCCGCGTCCCGGTGCGAACGGTTTTGAAGTGAGCGAGCCGTATTATCGCGAGGGACCATTGCCTGAGGTGAAGGGGAGCTTGCATCGCGAGTCGGGCATGTTGGAGTTCCTCCATCGCTGGGAAGACTTGCTCGGTGGTTTGTGTCGGGAGGGGTTTGTTATTGAAGACCTGGTCGAACCGGTGCATGCCGACCCGCTGGCTGAGAAAGATAGCTTCGCCTACCGCAGTTGTTTCATTCCGCCGTACGTGCGGATCAAAGCCAGGCGTCGTCCCCGGGCGGATGTCTCTGTAGCCGAACGCCCCAGTGTGTGGGTTCCTTAAGTGCAGGAGGACCGGGCCAGCATGAAGCTCGTCGCGATTGAAAGCTATCCGGTGCGAATTCCTTTGAAGCCCGAGCGGCGGATGTCTTCGTCATTGGGGCAGCACACGGTGTCGGAGTATCTCCTGGTGCGGGTGCTGACCGATGCGGGGATTGAAGGGGCCGGCGAAGCGACGGTGATGCCACGGTGGAGTGGGGAAACGGTTCACAGTGCGCAAGCTTTGGTCGATCACTTGCTCGCCCCCGCGCTTGTCGGTTGCGATCCGCACGATGTGGCGGAGATCGATCGCCGCATGGATCAGCTTTGCAAACACAATTGGTTTGCCAAGAGCGCCCTCGAGATGGCCTGTTGGGATATCCAGGGCAAGGCGGCCGGGGTGCCGGTGTATGAACTGCTGGGGGGTGCCAAGCGGTCGCGAGATATTCGGTGCCGGTTCTCGGTGGGGGCGTACGACGAACCACGTCTGCGTCGGGTGGTGGCCGAACGGGTGGAGGCGGGGTTCACCACCATTAAGGTGAAGGTGGGAGGAACGGCCGACGACGACTTGCATCGAGTGAGGGCTGCCCGCGATGTGATGGGGCCGGAGTTGGAGTTGGTGATCGATGCCAACTGCGGATGGGAAGTCGATACGGCCATCGCCAAGATTAACGCCCTGGAAGAATGCCGCATCGGGCTGGTCGAGCAGCCTACGCCCGATGGGGACTATGCGGCCTTGGCCCGAGTGCGACGTGAGACGGGGTTGCCCGTGATGGCGGACGATATCTGCTTCGACCTGGTGCATGCCGCGGAGTTGATTCGCAATGAGTGCTGCGACGTGATCAGTGTCTATCCCGGCAAGAATGGTGGTCTGCGGAAGTCGATGCAGATTGTCGAGTTGGCCGCTGGGGCCGGAGTGCCGTGCTCGATCGGCTCGAATCTCGAGCTCGATATTGCCACCGCCGCGATGGGGCACCTGGTGCTGGCCTGCGAAAATATGCAGATCGAGAGGTTTCCCGGCGACATGCTGGGGCCTGTCTATCACGAGTTCGCGGTGGTGAAAGATCCGCTGCGCATAGAAGGCCCCATCGTTCACATGTCCGACAAGCCTGGGCTGGGAGTTGAGGTGGACTGGGATGTGGTGAGGCGGAGCTGGGATTGAGACCATGTAGTTGGGCACTCCAAGAGTCGCCCCCCAATTGCTTTCAGCCAGCTAGCACTTCGCTTTCCGTGACAGTTGCGCCGTCGGGTGGGGTTGCGATACCTGAAGCCGCGATGGGGGCTTGAGTTACGTTCCACATGGCTTCGAAAAAGTTCATCCGCCGCGGCGATGGGGCCGATTCAGTAAGTGGCGTAAGGTTTTCCGGCTGCGTAAAACGTTTGGACAGCGGTTGTAACTTTAGGCTGCCTTTGAATTTCCGACGTCATTTGCTAGGCTGACGGGCGGTCCAGACCGTCTGACGGGGCTGTTGCCTGAAGGCATTTTTCGTTCCAGACGCTCAAGACTCTTACTGCGGCCCCCGGCCGAGTGTGGCAATGAATATTCTGCTGGCGACCAGTGAAGCGGTACCTTTTGCCAAGACCGGCGGTCTGGCCGACGTCTGTGGGACGTTGCCCATCGAAATCGCCAATCGGGGGCACGAAACGGCCCTCATCATGCCGGCCTATCGCCGGGTGTGGTCCTGCGGGCAGACCATCGAGCCGATGGATGTCGAGTTCTCGATTCCAATCGGCAGCAAGCAGGTCGAAGGTCGGCTGTATCGCAGCACATTGCCTGAGAGCGACGTGCCGGTGTACCTCATCGGGCAACCGCACTATTACGATCGTGAAGGTCTCTACGGCGAAGATGGCAAAGACTACATCGACAACTGCGAACGCTTCGCATTCTTCAGTCGCGCGGTGCTCGAAACCATTCGCATGTTGGAGTTGCCGGTCGATCTGCTGCATCTCAACGACTGGACCACGGGGCTGATCCCGGCGATCGCGAAAATTGAATACAAGGGCGTGCCCGGGTTCGAACAACTGGCCACGCTGTTTACGATCCATAACCTGGCCTATCAGGGCCGGTTCTGGCATTGGGACATGGTGCTGACGGGCCTCGACTGGAAGCACTTCAACTGGCACGAGATGGAGTTCTACGGTCAGTTGAACCTGCTGAAGACCGGGCTGGTTTTCTCAGACGCTTTGAGCACCGTCAGCCCCCGCTATGCGGAAGAGATTCAAAGCGCCCCGTTGGGTTGCGGACTGGAAGGCGTTCTGCAACACCGCAGCGATGTGCTCTCGGGAATCGTCAACGGCTGCGACTACAGCTTGTGGAACCCTGAGACCGATCAGCACCTGGCGGCCAACTACACGGTGGACAACTTCGCCGAAGGCAAAGCCGCCTGCAAAGCTGCGTTACAGGAAGAGTTGGGCTTGCCGCAAGAGCCGGCCACACCGCTGCTGGGGATCGTCTCGCGTCTGGTCAGCCCCAAGATCGGGCTGGTGCTGGATGTGCTGCCGGATTTTCTGCACAACTCCGACGTGCAATGGGTGATCCTGGGAACGGGGGACCCCGAGTATCACGAACGGTTGCTCACGCTGGCCGGTCGGGCTCCACACCGCATGGCCGTGCGACTGGAATTCAGCGAACGGCTGGCCCATCGCATCGAGGCGGGTTCCGACATCTTCGTGATGCCCAGCGAGTACGAACCGTGTGGGCTCAACCAACTGTATAGCCTTCGCTATGGCACCCCACCCGTGGTGCGTGCTACTGGTGGATTGGCCGACACGGTGACCGACACCAACGACGACACACTGCAGGCGGGCACAGCGAACGGATTCAGCTTCCACGATTACAGCCCCTTGGCGCTTGCTGAGACCCTGCGTCGGGCTTGTCGCGCTTACGATGACAAGCACACGTGGTCGCAGGTGGTTCGCCAAGGCATGCAAGAAGACCATTCGTGGGCCAGTAAATCGGCCGAATATGTCACGCTTTATGAAAAGACAATTCGCCAGGTTCGCAATGGTGTCTATATTTCCTAACAGCTAATGCTTCAAAACTTCGCCCCCATAGCCATGGCAGGGGGGCGACATCTTACAAGTGAACGGAACTCGCTTTTCTTCTTTCTTACTAGTAACGGACTAAGCAGCCTGCAACGAAGAACGGATTGACCAGAAGGACCTCTTTCGCCCAGCGTCGCATCGCACTCAGTCGGCAAGACTGAAATTAGTGCTACGCAACCCTTGGCCCTCTCGGCATTCGCTCCTGCGCAGGCGATTAAGCAGCGATAAAGGAAGCACCCATGCACGACATCTCCTTGGCGTTCGTTTGGCATCAACATCAGCCTTATTACAACGACGATGTCGCGGGTGAGAACCCAATGCCCTGGGTCCGTTTGCACGGCACCAAGGACTATTGGGGGATGGCGATGCATCTGAAAGAGGTGCCCGAGGTTCACGCCACGATCAATCTGGTGCCCAGCCTGCTGGATCAGATTCTGGCCTACACCGATCGGAATGCCGAAGACACGCACCTGCGGGTGTCGCGGCTCGCGCCCGATGCGCTTACCGAAGACGACATGATCTATCTGTTGGACAACTTCTTCATGGTCCATCACGACGAGATGATTCGTCCGTTCCCGCGGTATCAAGAGTTGTATCTGCAGCGCGGGATGGGAATCGACTCGGCCAAGCAGGCCAGTAAGCGCTTCAAGAAGCGTGACATTGTCGACTTGCAATGTTGGTCGAACCTGTCGTGGATGCACCCGATCGCTTTCGAGGTCGATTCTGACCTGCAGGAGTTCAAGCGGAAGGGACGCAACTACACCGAGCAGGACAAAGCCTGGTTGCTCGACAAGCAGATGGAGATTCTGCGACAGGTCATCCCGCTACATCGCGAGTTGGCCGAACAAGGGCAAGTGGAACTGACCACCACGCCGTTCTACCACCCGATTCTTCCGCTATTGGTCGACAAGCGGCTGGCCCGACAGGCGATGCCCGAGGTGATGTTGCCGGCCAACTTGGAGTCGTACATGGACGACGCCCGTCGCCACCTGGAGCAGGGTGTGGCGATGCACAAGAAGGTGTTCGGCATGCAGCCCAAGGGGATGTGGCCTTCGGAAGGTTCGGTCTGTCAGGAGATCATCTCGGCCATTGCCGACGTGGGGATCAAGTGGATCGCCACCGATGAAGAGATTCTGGCTTGCTCGAGCGATGGTTGGGTCTCGCGCGATGGGCAGGGCTATCTGCGGAACCCCGAAATGCTCTACCGTCCGTGGCGCGTTTCGGACAAAGGCAAGCAACTGCAGATCATCTTTCGCGATCATGCAATGAGCGATCAGATCGGCTTCCATTACCAACGGTTTGATGCCGATCATGCGGCCGACGATTTCATCGGCAAGCTGCAGGCAATTGGCAACGCCACGGGAGGCAACGCGGGACATCGACCTTCGCTGGTGAACATCACGCTCGACGGCGAAAACTGTTGGGAATACTATCCCGGCGGCGGCGTCAACTTCCTGCGAAAGCTGTACCACCGCATTGCGAAGCACCCCAAGGTTACGGCCGAGCGGGTTTGCGATTACCTGGAGAAGTACCCGGCGACCGACAAGATATCGCATCTCTTCGCCGGAAGCTGGATTCAGCACAACTTCGCCATCTGGATTGGTCATCCCGAGTGCAATCGGGCTTGGGACTTGTTGCACGAAGCTCGGGCGCACTTCATGAAGGCCGCGGCTTCCGGGAAGAAGACCAAGAAACAGATCGCGCAGGCCCAGCGAGAGTTGGACATCGCCGAGGGTAGCGACTGGTTCTGGTGGTTCGGCGACGACCACAGCAGCAGTCAGGACGCTACGTTCGATCGGCTGTTCCGTCAGCACTTGCAGAATATCTACCAGTGCTTGGGCGATGAAGTGCCCAGCGTGCTAACCCGACCGATCAGCCAGGGGCATGTGCATCGCAAGTTGCATACCGATCCCAACGGGCTGCTGCAGGTCAAAATCGACGGGCGGCACACCTACTTCGAATGGATCAATGCCGGGCATTATGCCTGCGGGAAAGCCACCGGGGCGATGGCCATGGCGGCCGACAGTCTGCTGGCCGATCTGTACTTCGGGTTCGACATCGAGAAACTCTACGTGCGGCTCGACGCTCGCGAGGGCACGGTGGCCGACCGGCTGAAGGATATCGACACGCTGCGATTGCGGTTCACCGATCCCGCAGGCTTCGAACTGCTGGTGAGTCACCCCAGTTGGCGGGAGCCGATCCTGCAGCTTTATCAAAACGACGTGCCGGTGGCGCAATCGAATGTTTCGGCCTCGGCCGACAAGATCATCGAGCTGGCCGTACCTTTTGCCACGCTCGGTGCCACCCCGGAAGATGCAATTCGGTTCTATGTCGAGCTGATCGCCAACGATCAGCCGGTGGAACGCGCCCCTAGTGAAGGGCTGATCGAGACGGAAGTTCCGTCGCCCGACTACGAACTAATCATGTGGCAGGCCTAAGTGTCCGCCTCAGTTTATTCATCGCGTTGAGTTTCATACCAAGCTGCAGTTCATTCCAACCACAACTTGCTCCGTGCATCAGGATATTACCGTCATGAATCGACCGTCGCCTAACTCGAACCCTGACCTGCGTAAGGACCCCATCGTCGGACGCTGGGTGATCATCGCCAAAAGCCGTGCGAAGCGTCCGTCGGACTTTACGAGCACTCCCCGTTTGCACTCCGGCGAGTTCTGCCCGTTCTGCGAAGGAAACGAAGACAAGACGCCCAGCGAGATTCTGGCCTATCGCAACAAAGGGGGCGAAGCGAACCGTGAAGGGTGGCGCGTTCGCGTGGTGCCCAATAAGTTCCCGGCGCTGGAGATCGAAGGCGACTTGAACAACCGCGGTGAGGGTATCTACGACATGATGCGTGGTGTTGGCGCGCACGAGGTGATCATCGAATCGCCCGAGCATGTGGTGAGCACCTCGGAGCTAAGCAAACACGGCATGCAAGAAGTGCTGTGGACCTATCGCGACCGGCTGGTGGACCTGAAGAAAGACCCCCGGTTGGTTTACGGCATGATCTTCAAGAATGTGGGTGCCGCCGCCGGGGCGTCGCTTGAGCATTCGCACAGTCAGTTGATTGTGACGCCGGTGGTTCCGATTGCGGTTTGGGAAGAGATGACCGGATCGCTGGAGTTCTACAACTACCGGGGTCGTTGCATTTACTGCGACATGATCCATCAGGAGTTGGCTTCCGAAAAGCGAATCGTGATGGATAGCCCTGGGTTTGTGGCCATCTGTCCCTTTGCCAGTCGCTTTCCGTTCGAGACGTGGATTTTGCCCAAAGCGCATTCGAGTCACTTCGAGAACATTCGTAAGAATGGGGTCGAAGAACTAGCGACGATGATGCGTCAGGTGATTGGGAAAATTGAAACAGCACTCGATCGACCTGCGTATAATTACATCATTCATACGGCACCCTTTGACAGCCAAGAGTTGGGCCATTATCACTGGCATATTGAGATTATTCCGCGACTGACAAAGACTGCGGGTTTCGAGTGGGGAACCGGTTTTTACATTAACCCGGTTCCTCCCGAAGAGGCGGCTGCTTTCTTACGCGACGTTGAGGCGGATCCGTACTCGGCACAATCTTTGCCGATCGGTGAAGCAAGTAAAGGCACGTAAACTTTTCCGCCGCGCGGAACCATATACCCCCGGAACCATCACTCGGTTATCCCGAATCCCTCGCCCCGAACCTCCTCGGCGAAACTATGTCAGCCCCCATTCGATTAGTCCTTGCGCTGCACAATCACCAACCCATCGGCAACTTCGATGGTGTCTTCGAACAAGCTTATCAGGACAGCTACCTGCCGTTCCTCGATGTGTTCGAACCGTACGACTCGTTGCGAATCGCGCTGCACACCAGCGGCTCGCTCATCGAGTGGCTCGATGTGCATCATCCCGAGTACCTCGATCGGTTGTCGGAGTTGGTTGCCGCGGGGCGGATTGAAATCATCGGGGGCGCGTTCTTCGAGCCGATCCTTACGATGTTGCCTCGTCGCGATCGTCAGGGGCAGATTCGCTCGTACACGCAGTGGTTGGAGAACCGCCTGAACGCCCGCATCCGCGGCATGTGGGTTCCCGAGCGGGTGTGGGAACAGTCGCTGGTGTCTGACATCGCGGCCGCGGGGATTGAGTACACGGCGCTGGACGATTTCCATTTCAAAAACGCCGGTCTGGTCGACGAGCAACTGCACAGTTACTACCTGAGCGAAGACCAGGGTCATCTGCTGAAGATCTTCCCCGGCAGCGAACAGCTTCGCTATCTCATCCCGTTTGCCGAGCCTCACCAGACGATCGACTACCTGCGCGAGGTCGCCGAGAAGCATCCGCACGCGGTGGTGATGTTCGCCGACGATGGAGAGAAGTTCGGCACGTGGCCCGGCACGCGTGAGCATGTGTACGACAACGGATGGCTCACACAGTTCTTCAACGCCCTGGTCGAAAACCAGGACTGGTTGCAAACCAGTACGCCGGCCGAGGTGATCGACAGTATTCCGCCGGCGGGTAAGGGCTACTTGCCCGATAGTAGTTACCGCGAAATGACCGAATGGGCACTGCCGGTGAAACGGCAAGTCGAACTCGACCGGCTCACGCACAGCCTGGAAGACCAGCCGAATTGGAATTCGCTGCGTGGCTTCATTCGTGGCGGGATCTGGCGGAACTTCAAGGTGAAGTATTCCGAGACCGACGAGATGTACGCCCGCATGATGATGACGAGCCGCCGTTTGCATGCGGCCGAGCAAGAACACTCCGGCGAGCTTCTCGAATCGGCCCGACGCGAGTTGTATCGCGGTCAGTGCAATTGCAGTTACTGGCATGGGGCCTTTGGTGGGGTTTATCTGCCGCACCTGCGAAACGCGGTCTACAACCATTTGATTGCGGCCGACAACTTGCTCGACCAGCTCGAAAACCGGCACGCCCCTTGGATTGAAGCCGCGGCGGGCGACTACAACTTGGACGCGCGACAGGAAATCTGCCTGTCGAATGATCGGCTG